GCCTAAGGACTTTCAGATTTCTTGCATGCCAGATTTTCCATGAGACGATCGGCATCCGAAGCAATTCAATTAGTTGACCTTAGAGCATCTCCAATAGATGTTTCAAAATTTGGCGATTCAAAACCAAAAATGTAAAATTTGAACCGTCAAAAAGTGTGTTTTGGAGCTCTGAAAAAAGCTCAACTCCAACAAATGGTCCAAAAAAGCAACTCTAATAGATGGTCCAAATTGAGATGTAAATTTCTTAAAACGACAAACTATTAGTCCATTCAACATAGTTCAAACATCAAATTCAACATAATTTCATACATGAACTTCAACTACTACTAATTCAAACTACTATATAAACTACTTCTCATCGTCGGAGCAGCAGAACTGCGCCCAGAACTCCTCCTTCTCCGGGTCGTCGCCCCCCTCCTACTCCTCCTTCGAGAAGTCTGCCCAGTCCTCCTCGGAAGAGGACTCGATGGGGATCACCGTCGAGGGACCGGCATCGTCCTCCTTCTTCACCCCCTTCTTCTTCTGCTCCGCCTCACGCTTTCAGTAGTACTCCAGCTCGGCTTGGACGTACTCCGGATGCTCCCGAGCAAACCTCGCCATCGCCTCCTCGTCAGTCTTGCCAGCACTGACGACAACCGACGGCTTCTTCGTCGTCTTCTTCTTCGTCGGGATCTCCTTCATCTTGATGCCCTGCAGCACAAGCATCTCCGCTTCCGCCCGACTCTTGATCTCTGGGAAGTTAAGGTGCTCCCGAGGCCTCTCGGCACGCCACACTGCCACGTCGTAGGCACGTGCGGCCTCGTGGGCGGAGGGGTACGTGCCGATCCACCAACGCCTCCCGGCGTCGAAGAACTCCACTCCGAAGTTACCGGAGGGTTTCTGCCTCATGCCGAAGAAGAACGACTTGCCCTTCGACGTCTTCTTCGGCGCCATCGGAGGGCGGCGAGAGCGGTGAAGCGGCGGCGACGTGTGGCCGGAGCGGTGGCGGACGGAGCCGGGCGGAGCTGCGGGGCGGCGGTTGTGTGCGGGGCGGTGGCGGACAGAGCCAGGGCGGGTCGGAGCTACGGCGGATGGGTCGGGGTCGGGCGGAGCTGCGGCGGGTCGGAGCTGCGGCGGACGGGGCGGGGCGAATGGGGCGGCGACGTGCGCTGCTGCCGCGGCCGGATGCACGGCG